CCTGACCGACACACGGACACACACATTTTATATCATGAAATATTATTACAATTTAATATACGTAATATATTTGAAAATCGAATTTATTTCCAGCATCATCACTCCAGTCTTCAAAGTCACATGATCCTCCAGAAATCACTCTAATATGAGGATCTGATGATCAAGAAACATTTATGATTATTATCAATGTTGAACTGTTGTTTAATTTTTTTTTGATGAATATAAAGTTCAAAAGAACAGCGTTTATTTTAAATAGATTTTTATGCAACATTAAATGTATTTACTGTCACTTTTGATCAATTTAATTAAACCTTGATGAATAAAAGTATTACTTTATTTTATTTCTCCCCCCCCAAAACATTTAATAATAACCCCCAAACTTTTGAACGGTTTCATAAGCTTTCTATTTCAGATAAACACTATTCTTTTGAACCTTCCATTCATCAAATTATCCTGAAATAAATATCTAAACAACTAAATAATAATCATAAATGTTTCTTGATCATCAGATCCTCATATTACAGTGATTTCTGGAGGATCATGTGACTCTGAAGACTGGAGTAATGATGATAAATTGCTTTAATGTACAGTATATTCACATTGACAACAGATGATTTACAATGCAATAATATTTCATAATTTTACTGTATTTTTAATCAAATAAACACATTTTTTTAAAACATTAAAAAATCGGACTGATCCCGAACTTCTGACTGGTAGTGTGTGTGTGTGTGAGTGTGTGTGAATGAGTCAGACCTGGTGATGTCTTCAGAGAGCAGCGCCGGTTCAGGAGGATAAAACTTCACGTTGAATGAGAAGTTCCAGGCGACCCCTGAGGAAGAAAACGCAGAGGTCAAGCGCAGCACACGAGCACAGGACAGGACAGGTGTGTGTCCCGAGAGAGAGGGCCTCACCTCGGATCTGCTTCTTCAGGTCTTTGGAAGGATCCAGCCAGTTCTGAAACGAATCGTTCAGATGAATCACGACTCACTGAATCAATGTTCAAAACTGCATCTGTGTGAATCTGTTACCTTTTGATTCTCCACATCACGGAAAGTGATTCCGAAGTAATCTTTCTCCAGGAGATTGAGATGTTCACAGACTTTATCGAACAGAACCTGACCTTTATCACGCTTCTGTAGACAGAGAGATAACATTAAACACAATAAAGGGGCGGGGCCTGGTTGAGTTCGTTAGTAGTGTCGTGAAACCAAGCGTTAACCTTCCCGTCTCTCTCTTACTGTGATCCAGCACTGAGTGAGTTCACCTGCAGTTCCTCCACTGGCCACTAGAGAGACTCACTCCCATAGACCCGCATGTTAAAATGCCCAACTTTACAGCAGAATTAAACATGTTTACAGTCTGGTGTTAAAAGTGGTTTTGGTCTATATCGCTAATGTTGCCCTTCATGACGACTGTGAGGGGGGCATTTTTTTTTATAACTCATCCGTTTAAATTATATTAAGCATTGAAGTTCTGCATAATTAAGGGCGTGGCCACTTGAGTGACAGGTGGATTTCCGCTGATGTCACTGCTAGCCGTTTGTCTACTACCGTTAGCGTCACGTCACCTCAGCTAATCCGCCCTTGCACGTTTGTTTATCCAGGAGTGACCCTGCCAAGATGGCGACGACCGGCTCCGCCCACTTTGGGCTTAAAAAACACTCTTCAGAAACACTACAGGTGACGTCACACACACTACACACATATTTTATTACACTCTATGGTTGAAACTGGTGGTTATGAAAAGGGGCGGGACATTTCTCAAAGCGCTCGACCAATCACAACACACTGCTCCAGCCGACCAATCAAAGCACAGTGTGCTTTTCAGAAGGAGGGGCTTCATAGAGACAGGAAGTGAACAGAGCGTTACTGACAGACTGGGAAGAGAGGAGCCGTAACAATGGAGAATATGAGGAGAATAATCAACATTCAAGCAGGAAAACCTGTTCTAGAAGAGCCTGAAACAATATCACGACACTGAGGACATAAAATAGTTCAATAACTCGTGTTTTTGCTCTTGTCATACACTAATATTACACTCCATCTGTGTGTTCTCGTCGCTAATAAGCTCATCATGAGACACACTTGAGTGCAGTGATGATGATGCAACTATTAAGACACATAAGAAACAAGATTCACACAAACCCTGAGAAAGAGAGAGAGAGAGAGAGAGAGAGAGAGAGAGAGAGAGAGAGAGAGAGAGAGAGAGAAAGAGAGACACAGACGGGTTTCATAAAGGGCCGCCGATGATGAAAGTGTTTCAGTCTTTATCTTCACGATCCTCTTGATTCAGTCTATAATGATGATGTTGCTGATGTTGAGTCTCGTGTGCACACATCAGGTTAATAAGGTCAAAAATACAGGATTTGAAATTAACTTTTTCGCTCACTACTAGATATTTAAGTTTAGAGCTTCTACTAGCCAAAAGAAAAGAAAAAGATGCTTCTGTCCACTCACACTTCACCAGTTCACGTATCATAGTGCAATAAGGAGAATGGTTTGTTTCTGGAATGTTGCTTTAAAAATGCTAATTAGACTATCTAATTAAATATGCACTAATTTGCATACATTTCCGGGACAGAAATATGAGCATTGTTTGATTTTTTTTTAAGGTTTTTAAAGTTTACAGGGATGATTTAATTTTTTTTTTCACTTAGAACATCCAACAGGCAAAAAAGCAGAATATAGATATTAGTGAGTGAGATTTCTGACCGAAACTCACTTTAAAGATTTACAGACACAAATAGTGTGTGTGTGTGTGTGTCTCACCTCCACCACGCAGGTGTAGTCGGAGCCGTCGAGCAGTGAGATCTTGCACTGCATGCTCTTGGGTTTCTTGATCACTTTCACAGGAGATCGGGTGAGTTTGCTGGAGGAGGACCAGTGGGAGGAGCCGTCGTCCTCGGCCAGCTGCTGATTGGCTTTCCCCTGTGGGACTCCGCCCACCTCACGCTCCCCAGCCTGACATCACAGAGAAACACACTCAATCAGACACTGACACCTGTGTGTGTGTGTGTGTGTGCTGGTTTGACCTACATTGCATTGTGCTTACGTTGTGGTGTGTGTTCAGGGTTCAGGCCACGCCCCCTATATTATGAGGAATTGCCGATCCTTGTAATTCAAAACTTGTGATAGGTGGGTTTAGGGTTATGGGATAGAAAATGTTATTAGCTCAGTAAAAACCATTATGCATATGGAATGACTTCATAATGATAGGAATGTGTGTGTGTGTGTGTGTGTGTGTGTGTGTGAGAGAGAGAGAGAGAGAGAGAGAGAGAGATAGAGAATGTGTTTCATAATATCAAACCCTTTTTTTATTTTAAAAATGATTATATCTGAAAATCAGTGGCAACTGAATGTAATAGTTTGGCCTAAACGTTTAGCAAAATAAAAACAATGTGTGCTGTATACTGTAGCGTTACCGTGACAATCAGAAGATATACCTGTTGTTTCCTGACAGGTGTGCTGTGGGCGTCGGCCGGGGGAAGCTGGTTGTCGAGGGGCGGGGCCAAAGGGGGCGGAGCCACACTGGCCTCCTGCTGCTCTGCTTTACTCTCCGTTTCTGTCGTCATTTCAGATCAAACTGTGATCAGAGCGGAGACACACACGCATGAACACCTGCGACGGACACTGAGATCATACAACAGCCCAGCATTTCCAGCATGACCTTTGACCTCAGTGTCAAGCTCTGATGTTTTAGGGTGAACTTTACTTTGAGTGGATATTAATGTGATTCTGCTCACAGACGGTCAGATTTAACATTCATCTTCCATTACCCACTGATTCCTGTTCATGTGATCATGACGAATGATGCACAGGATCATGGGTATTAATGTTTGTCTTTCCTCTGTAGGACAGCGTTTGACATGTCTCTGCACAGATCTGGATCAAAGGCATTATGGGAAAGGCATTAAGATGCAGACGAAAACTGTTTTATGGCTCGACAAATGAAACTGTGTATCATGCAAACAGACAGAGAACTCTGGGATAGATCCAGAGAAGATCAAATGAAGGAAAGGTGAGAGGATCCCATCGGATGAGGAAGATGAAACAGTGCAAACAGGAAGCAGTCGAGATGCGTTTCCTGTCCCTCATTAGAATGAGTCTTTCATTTCTGTAGAGGAGGACAAATATAGATTCTGCCACTGTGGGACTCGAGTGTGTGTGTGTGTGTGTGTGTGAGATCAGAGATTGTCCTGCGTGAGCTGAATGAAGAATCAGTGTTTAACTCCTGGAACAGGACGATGCTCATCAGACACTCGATTGCTGTAGTCAGATGCTGGACAATATCTTCTGAAGTGAGCGTGAGGTGTTGAACTGTGCTGGGGGTGTAAGGGTGGTTGCCAGGGTGTTGCTATACAGTTATCAAGTTTGTTTTGATTTATTTTTAGTGTACTCCAAGGTGGTTGCTATGCAACTAAAATAGCTTCTTTTTAGTGTGTTCATAGTTCTGTGTAGTAGTGTTATTGTGTTACTAAGGTGTTGCTATGCAGCGGCTAAGGTGTTTTGAGTGGTTTTGCTGTGTTTCCAGGGTGTTGCTATGCAGCGGCTAAGGTGTTTTGAGTGGTTTTATTGTGTTACCAGGGTGTTGCTATGCAGCTGCTAATGTGTTTTGAGCAGTTTTACTGTGTTACCAGGGTGTTGCTATGCAGCGGCTAAGGTGTTTTGAGTGGTTTTACTGTGTTACCAGGGTGTTGCTATGCAGCTGCTAATGTGTTTTGAGCAGTTTTACTGTGTTACCAGGGTGTTGCTATGCAGCGGCTAAGGTGTTTTGAGTGGTTTTACTGTGTTACCAGGGTGTTGCTATGCAGCTGCTAATGTGTTTTGAGCGGTTTTACTGTGTTACCAGGGTGTTGCTATGCATCTGCGCCTGCTAATGTGTTTTGAGCGGTTTTACTGTGTTACCAGGGTGTTGCTATGCAGCTGCTAAGGTGTTTTGAGTGGTTTTACTGTGTTACCAGGGTGTTGCTATGCAGCTGCTAAGGTGTTTTGAGTGGTTTTACTGTGTTACCAGGGTGTTGCTATGCAGCTGTGCCTGCTAATGTGTTTTGAGCGGTTTTACTGTGTTACCAGGGTGTTGCTATGCAGCGGCTAAGGTGTTTTGAGTGGTTTTACTGTGTTACTAGGGTGTTGCTATGGAGCAGCTAAGGGTTTGACTGTATAATCTTTCTATCATATTTGGGGAACCTTCCTCTAACACATCACCATAACACGACAAAACCAACACATCTGCATTAAAAAATGCAATATTTCATATTTTTATAGTATTATTACCATGATGAAAACATATCATAGAAAACCATGGTACATATAAAGCATAATAATGGATGAATAAAGTATCAGATTATAGTTATTCCCCACTGAATCTCAGACCAGATCTCCTCCTTTCTGGTCTGAGGATCTGGTTTGGCTTTAGTCTGTGAGTCCTTGAGATGTGCCTTTGTGTCTCTGCAAAGGACATGCCGGAGGCTCTCAGCCAATCAGATGCTCCGACACAGCCATGTGTCTTTAAGAGCTCACCACGCTTCCACACACAGACGTCACCTAAACCCTCCGTTCCTCTCTGTGATCTAGAACACGCCGGCGACTCATGAACCCAGCACTGACAGCGCAGTGAAATCCCCTCATGCATTATTCATGAGTCCGGTATTCATATATATAATTACTCCTGACGCTCATTAATATTTTCTGATAGACAATCAGTGGTGGCGGATCAAAAACACATAAACACCTCAGTGATGTGATCAGAAATAATAATAATAGTTCAACCGCACATCATCTGCTTATTGAGACAAAAGACAAAATTATAGGTTTCAGAGATGATCAAGCGAGTAATCAATAAATCAATCTTACATCATTATTCTAATCACATGACAATTATTAAGTACATCTAATTTCAATTACTGTAAAGCTCAAAAATATTATTTATAAAGTAATAAAAGTATTAAACAAATAAATAAATATTAAAAAATATCTATACATTTGGCAGTATTTGTTGTACTGCCTATAATTCATCTGAATATCAATGTTAAAAAAAAACATTGTATTACAGTAACAAGAACATAATTTGAATCACCTTAAATAATGACAATTATAAATGTAAAGTACATAAAACATCTAGATGAATCACAGTATGTGGTTGCTGGGGTGTTCTGAGTGATTTTAGTGTGTTAGGATTTTCCTACGCAGTTACTAAGGTGTTTGAGTAATTTTTGTGTGTTCCTAGATGCTTGAAAGGGTATTGCTATGCAGTTGCTATAACGTTCTGAGTGATTTTAGTGTGTTACTAGGGGGTTACTAGGGTGTTGCTAAGCTGTTGCTAAGGTGCTCTGATCAGTTTTAGTGTGTTCATAGGTGGTTGCTAGGGTGTTGCAATGCCGTTGCTGAGGTATTGTGCATGGTTTTTAGTTGGGTGCTCCTATGTGATTTCTAGGGTGTTGATATGTAGTTGCTAAGGTGGTCTGAGTGGTTTTTAGTGTGTAACTGGATGGTTGTTATGCAATTGTTAGTAATTGCATAACAAGCAATTGTTGCAGTTGCTTTTAGTAGGGTGTTCATATGTGGTTGCTAGTGTGTTGCTCTGTTGCTAGGGTGTTCTGAGTCATTTTAGTGGTTGCTATAGTGTTGCTATGCAGCTGCTAATGTGTTTGGCATTGATTTTAGTAGGCTGCTCCTAGGTGGTTGCTGGGGTGTTGCTGAGGTGTTCTGCATGTAATTTAGTAGGGTGTTCCTAGGTGTTGCTAGGGTGTTGCTATGGAGTTGCTAAAGTGTTCTGAGTAATTTTTGTGTTCCAGGGTGTTGTTATGTAGCTGCTAATGTGTTCTGCATGGACAGAACACCTTAGCAACCACCTAGGAGCACCCTACTTAAATCAATGCTGAACACATTAGCAGCTAAAATTATATAAGTACATAAATTATATAGTACAATTATATAGTACAATTATAAGTACATAGATACATTAAAGTAATAAGAATGAGTAATGTAATGAATATAACGTCAAAATGCAAAACAAATAAAGTAATGGAATTAAAATAGGATACTAATTTTTTCTAGTGAAAAATAACCTTTTGATTTTGGGATGAAATATGTGAAATAATTCGCCCTAATGTATCATGTCCTTTTGCTCTCAGAGATGTTCCTGAACACAGAACTGTCCGACAAGAGCGACGAGAACCAGAACAATCCCTGAATCTAGGCCGAGATGAGTTACAGTCAGAAATAGAAGCTGTTCTTCCGTCTGATCTCACGAGACGTCTGCTAAACGAAGGACACACAGGCATTTGTACGGCGGTCACTGTACAATTTTGTCAGATTTAAATCAAAGGATCACACACACACACACACTTCATAAAGTCACACTGCAGGAACAATGAACATCAAATCCACAAGCAGACCTTCAGATTCTGTGCATGTTAAAACAATAAAAAAAACAACCAAATCATTACGAGCATGAGCTGTAATCAATGCCAACACACTCATTATGTCCGCTTAACTG